CCACCCCGCTGCATCTCTGCCGGAGGTGGAAACTGTCCGTGTATTGACCTGGCGGCTTTGCCCTCTTTTCGTGCCATGCTTTCTCCCTCCCTCCCTCCCTCCCTCTCCCTCTTGCCCCTGGGGGCCAGGCCGTGTTCCTTCGGAGAACCTTTTCCTCGTGTCCTGCACAACCCGCCTCGGGGTGGATGCGCTGGCTGATGCTCTGACCAGCGCCGTTCGTGGGGTGTGCGTACTCGCGCGGGCCACCAGGCCGGCCGCCTTTCCTGTGCACCCCTCCGCGTGCTCCTTCTCTCTCTCGCTCTCTCTCTCTCTCTCTCTCTCTCTCGCTCTCGCTCTCGCTCTCGCTCTCCCCCCCCCCCCTGACTGACTCGCTGGTTGCCTCCTTGCCATGATGCAGCCTGTCCTCGGAAGGCCCGGCTGCCGGGCAGTCCGGCCGGTCAGGCTTTGACTCGGACGACGACGTGGCCGCGCCGGATGACGATGGTCGGTCAGTCATCCTGTCACATCCTCGCCATCGGGACTATGTCTCGCGTGCTGTTAGCCACCTGAAGGTGGCCCTTGGTGCATACCCCGCGATTGCCCCGGCCCTCTGCCTTCCCTTGTCCTTCTCTTTGCCGCCTGCTTACATGAGCGTGCCCTTTGCTGACACATCACCTTGCGCCGCTTGCGCTGCTCGACATGTATTTGCATGTATGCATGTATTTCGCACCTACACGCCTGGTAGCTCACCTCTCGCCGGGAGGAACGCAAGATGCGGTGCTGGTGGCCGAGGAGTGTCGGGCTGCTGCACATGCCCTCGCCGGGCTGGCTGGCAAGTTGGCTCCGGACGACGTGCTGGACATTGTCTTCGCCGAGTTTTGCATTGGAAAGTGAGAGCACCAACCCGGAGCACCGCCCGTGGCAAGTGTCTGCCTCTTCGCCGGGCGTTGGGCGCGCGAAAGCCACAGCAACATCATCAAAGAAGCAGGCACTCGTGGAAGAGGAGAACGTTGTTTTATATTGGCAACACGACTGTGTCAGATCCACCAAAGGGGATGTTATGGTACAGGAGGTGGGAGAAGGCGGGCCTCGGAGATTTAGCGAGCCTCAAACTGGATGACTGAAGAAGGCAAAGGGCCGGGAGCCGAAGAGAGCAGGGGGGGGGAGGGAGGGAAAGAGTGCATCAGACGCACTGTTCTTGGTGCGCTTCTTGTAGAGGACGCGGTAGCCGCACTCGGTGCACTGAATCTTGTTGGACTGGGAGAGGGAGCACTCGTGGCCGCACTCTGTTGAAATGGTCGGAAAAAAGGGAGGGGGGCAAGGAGAGAGAGGGGGGGGCGACAGAGGGAGAGAAAGTGAGCAAAGGGCCGGAGGGCAAAATAGGGCCAGAGTAGAGGCAGGCAATTGGTCGAGGGGGAGGAGGGGGGCGCACCAGCGCAGATGTAGCGAGGATCGTCAGACATGGTGGCGGGGTCTCTCGGGCAAGGGGAGGTGGGAAGTCGCGGGATCGGGAGAGGAGGGTGCTGGGATGTCGGCGCGCGCGCACACACGGCCGCGCCGCGAAGGCCTCCGAAGAACCCGCCCCCGCCGCCGGGGGGGGGCATATGTGCGCGCACGCCGGGAGCGCGCCTCATGGAATGGGTCACGTGTTCCGGCCGGCGACATGACACGCCGACCCCACAATCGTTTTGATGGACGTCGATCGGCCACTTGGCGTGGGGCTGGTCCCCCGGCCGATGGGGCCCGGTGTGGGGCTGGGCAGGAGTCGTGTGGCGAGAAAGATCGGCCCCATCCGGGAGGGGGAGCTGGGGCAGCCGCCGGGGGCGCCGGGTGCCTCTGACGGGAGGAAAAAAGGCCGGTCCGGTGGAGCGGCCAGCTAAATCGCACCGCCTCATCTACTCCCTGCATGGCTGGCATATCCTTCTTTCGTTGTTTGTGCTCGTTGCTCTTGATCGATCTCCCCGGCCCCGGGGTTTCGCCTCTCACCCTTGCTTCTCAGGCCCCTTTTCTTTTTTTCGCTTCGCCCAAGTCCCGCTGGCTTCCAAGGCGCCCGCCCGAGCCTGCCGGCCAGGTGTCCGGTCTCACGGCCGTTGCTCCCCATGACACTTCTCAAAGCCGAGGATCGAGCTCCTCCGGCCGGGCCGGCTGTGCCCATCCCCCTGGGCGACCTGGCCAGCGCGGCTGCCATGCAGCATGGCGGCAACTTCACCATGGTGCGTGCGAGTGGGCCCCCTCTGGCCGATGGCCCTTCGCCCCGACATGCCGCCTGACCTGGATCCCCGCGTCGCAGCCGCTCGGCTCCATCGAAAAGCAGTGCTTGATCACCTCGGCCTCGCGCATCGCCTCCTTCGCGAGCCGGGTGGCGGACGTCGCCCCACCGGGCCCGGGGCCTGGCGACGTGCCCATGGCCCCGGCCGACATGCCAGCCGAGGCAACCCTTCGTGCTGAGGCTCTTGCAGCCATGGTCGGGCTCTACTCCTCGGCCCTGGTGTCGGGGGACACCTCGACCGGGCGTCTGCTCCGGCTGCTGGTCGATGATTATGGCCCCGAGCGCCTGTGCGTTGCCCTGTGCCGGGATGGCGGCCCCGGTTGGCGACCGACGAGATCGGAATTGTGGTGGGGAAACCCCCCCCCCCCCCCCCAGACGAACCATCTGCCCGATTGTCACTCACCATGCCCTTCCTTCTCCGCTCCCCCCCCCCCCGCCCTGTACTTGGCCCCCCTGCCCATGCGCTCCAACCCGCACGCCCCAGCGCGCACATCCTATGCCCGATTGCCGCGCCGAGTGATGGCCATGCCCTGAGCCCCGAGGAGGCCGACTTCCAGTTGGAGTCCGTGCGCCTGGTGTATGCCCTGGTGTATGCCGCGGCGCCGGCTCTCCTGACGCAGCTGCAGCGCCAGAACATCAGCTGGTGGTGGCTGCTGGAGCCGGGCAGCCTGGAGGAGGATCCCGGCCTGGCGACCGGGGGCGATGCGGCTGCCGGGGCGGCGGATCTGGCCGCTTGGCTGGCGGATGCCGGATCCGGCCGAGCGGCCAGCCCGCGACTGAGCCCGCTGGCCCAGGCGCTGCTCTTCTTCGATACCGGCCTGGTGGCCCGCGTGGTGGCTCTTTGCGGGCATTGGTGGCGCCGGCTGGCAGCCGGGCAGGAGGGCCTCACCGAGCCGGGGGCCGAGATCCTGCTGACGGGGCTGAAAATTTGGCGGCACTGTTTGAGCGCCCTGCTGCTGTATCGGTCCGACATCCTGGCCGGCCGCACGACCGACCATGCCCCGTGGCTGTTGAGCGTGCGTTCGCCGCCATCGGACGGGACCCTGCCTCCGTGGCGTCTCGGCCTCCTCTTGTGCTGTTTGCCCCCGGCGGCCGGGTTTCCCCCCCCCCCCCCCCCTCCCCCCTCGGCCGGACACTGACCACACGCATTCCACATGGGCACACGATGCCCGCCGTGTGCCGCGGCGCATGCCGGCCACAGGAAGACCAGGTGGATCTGCTCCTGGCGCTGCTGTGCCACCGACAGCACCTCGACCCGGCGGCCCAAAGCGCCGGCATGTCGCCCACCGAGGTGGCCATCCTCGGCGAGGCGCTGGCCATCCTGACCCTGGCGCCGATGTGCCCGGAGCCGACCATGCTCAGGAGCATGGCGCCCGAGCCGGGTGCGGACGAGCGGCCGCCCGCGCGCCTGGGCCGCCGGACGCAGGCTTGGCAGTGCCCGGGGATCCTGCGCCGAGTGCTCAGTCGCGCGGTGGCCATCGCCAGCCACCCCTTCTCCGGCTTGGCCGACAGCCTGTCGCACACCCGGCCGGAAGACCTGCCAGGAGACACCTTCCAGACGGCGCCGTTCAGCTCGCTGCAACTGGTGGCCCATGCGCTGGTGCTCTTGGAAACATACATCGCCGTGGGCCAGGACACCGCATGGCTGAAGATCGACGACTTCCGTGCGTGCGGGACCGGCGCCCCCGGTGGGCACCGGCTTTTCTTCACTCGCGCGCGACCCCGCGTGGGCACTTTCACCCGGCTGGCCTCCACGCTCCCGCGCCGAATGCTCCGGCTGTGGTTTTTTTTTGTTTTTTTTTTTTTTGCCCTCGCGCGCCTGGCCGTCTGACACCCCCATTTACTGGCTGATGCATGTGCGCTGGGATGTGCCCCCGCCGCCGGGGGGGACGCCGCTCCAGGCGACATCCTCGCCTCGCCGCTGGACTTCACGCTGCTTTGCATGGCACGCGAGCGGCTCTTCATCGTGGAGACCCTGCTGCTGCAGGAAGTGTGTCGCGTGGTGTCATTGCGTTTGTATGTGTCCGCTCCGGCGGCTGGGGCAGATCATCTGCCTGCTTTTTTTTCCCTCCCGCCCCCACCGACCCAGGCAGCATGGCAAGTCCAAACTGACATGCCTCCCCCGCGACATGGGGCCAGGCTCATGTGGATGCTCGACATGCGACTGTACCCCTTCGACATGCACCAGGGCCTTTCTCGGCAGCTGGTCAGTTACATGACCACCTTCCGGCGCAATGCCGACATGGCCCGGTCTTCGAATCTCTCCTGCGTGGCCGATTCCGGCAACATCCGGCTGTTGCTGTTTGCGCATGCGGCGATCACTTTCCGTGCGTGAGCATGCTACCCTGTGTGTGTGTGTGTGTGTGTGTGTGTGCATGTGTGTGGGCATCTCTGTGTCCATGGTCGTCAGACACCTGGAGCGCCCGATTGGGCTCCATGTGGCCCTGTTTGCGTGTAATACTCATGCCGCTGCCTGCCTGCCTGCCTGCCTGCCTGCCTGCCTGCCTGCCTGCCTGCCCGCCCGCCCGCCCGCCCGCCCGCCTGCCTGCCCACGCCACCCCTCACCCCGCCCGCCCGCGCCACCCCGCACCCCGCCCGCGCCACCCCGCACCCCGCCTCGAGCAGGCTCCATGTCTCGCTTGGTGGCCGGCACCGACACCGACCGATCCACCGGTGGGGACATCCTCCCGGGTGACATGAGCCCCGACCATGCCCTCCTGCTTGGGGACTTGGACCCGCCGGTGGGACGCTCGGATGCCGAGGACGCCCGAGTGGCGCAAATCGCGGACTTTGACAGCGGCAAGCTGGTCCTCCTGCTGGTGGACCACATTCGCATGTGCTACCAATTTGCCCTGACCGACATCTCCACGCAGCTGGGAAGCCCCCTTCATCCGGCCTGCCTGCGCTATGCCTGCCTCGTGCGTCGGCCCCTTGGGCTTGTTGGCCTCCTGCCCCGGCACCAGACCATGGCTTGCTCACCTGCCTCGGCTGCCCGCGCCTGTCCCGGGCGTTGCTCACCCCCCTCCCCCGGATGCCGGCCATGTGCCATTCGATGCCCGGGCGGGGGAAAAGGCCTCCCTTTTCATGCTGTCCGAGCTCCAGCGCTACCGACTGTCACGGATTGTGCTCGGGCACCTTATTCGCCAGACGCCTGCCGGCCCCGCCACCGGCATCGGGGCCGGCACCGGTGCCAGTACCACTCCCACCGGCGCCGAGGACCGCCTGGCCCCGACCCCGGTCGGTCAACACCTCCTGGCCGGGCTGTATTACCTGCTCTTCCCGGCGGTGGTGGTCTGCCATCGGAATGCCGAGCTGCGCCGGCGCTTTGACGCCGGCGACGAGGCCCTCCACCCGGACCGGTACCACCCCTGGCGCCTGGTTGACTGGCAAATGGTCACCGCCTGCCTCGATGTCGTGCGAGTTCTGTCCGGGTCGAGCCTGGTTCTGTGGCTCCTTCGTCGCCAAGTGAGCGCCCTGCCTCTCGGGGCCGCCATGGCGGACCTGGCTCGGTCGCTGCGCCTGCGCTCGGTGCACTCACTGACTCTTTGGGTGCGTAGGTGTCCACAGCCAGAAGGACATGTATGCCGGGGCGTGAGAGAGGGGGAATGGGGCAGCGGGCGAAGGAGAGACGAGGAGAGAGAGAGAGAGAGAGGGAGGGAGGGAGGGAGAAGGAGACAGATGCAGGATCCCGAAAGGACGCCGGGCCCTCCACAAGTCCTGGAGGTGCCGCGGGCGGGTGGCCCTCTCAAAAGCCGAGGGCACCCATCGAGAGAGTCGGCCGGGGCAACAATTAACAACAGCACACTTCCCAATGTCACACTGCTTCGCGCGACCGACTGCCCCTTCCGCCGGGGTAGCTGCTCGGCCAGCCGGGCGTGCCGGAACTCACCAAGATGGTGGCCACCCTGGCCTGCTCCAATATCGCGCTCATGACGCCGTCACAGTCCTTCGAGGTGCGTCCCTTCCCCGGCAGGCGGCCTCTGGGCGCCATTGGCACGCCTCCCTGCGGTGCCCTGGCGAGACCCCGGCGGGGAAAGTGTCCCGGTTCTGACGGTGGACCTCGGTTCGCGCTATCTCGCCTGTGGTGCCTCTTTTTTTTCCCCCCCCCCCGACCCCCATGCCGCCTCTTCCCGCCCCGTGGCAGGCCCTGGCCCAGCATGACATCCCGGCCGTGGTCATCGCCAACATCATCCAGGCGCTCAATGATCGGGCCGAGGGGCAGGCCGCCATCACGGGCACCTCGGTCGCCGGGTCGCCTCCCGAGGCCGGGGGCCGGTCCTTGATGCTGCCGGCCTCGCGGTCGCCGTACCTCAGCCGCCGCCATGCCGAGCTCCAGACCCGGTCACTGGTCGAGTGCTTTCAGGAGGCCGCCCTTTTCATGGGGACCTGGTGCTTGCGGAACATTTGCCATGGGTCCCGGGGCTTGCAGGCGTCCCCGGGCTCCGGACAGCCAAGTGTCACGGTGCCCACGGCCAATGTCAACTTTTGGCACTTGACGCATGGCGGCCCCGGAGGCCAGGCGGCCGCGGCCGGCTCCTCCACGCCCGAAGCCGAGGCTGGTGCTGACCCGGAGGCGCCGGATGCCCCGAGCACGCAAGCCCATGCTCCCCCGCCCGAGGACCGGCCCCCTTCATGGACTTCTCCATGGATGCCATCCTGCAGTACATTCGATCTGGCGAGGGGGCGCGACCGGATCGCCGGACGCGCCTTCGCCGGTTCACCTGGCGCACGGACGGGCCCGGCGACCAAAGCACCCGGGCCGAGGCCGGCAGCCTGCCGGCCGGCCGGCACCAACGGTCGGCCTCGACCCCGGCCGCGCTCGGCGGCCACGGGGACAGCACCACGCCGCCGTCGCCGCCGCCGCCGCCCGTGCCCGGGGCCGTCACCCGGCCCACACGCGGGTCCTTCTATGGCGAGCTGCTGGCCATCCTGGCCGCGCGGGTGGACTGGTCGGTGCCCGATCCCTCGGCCAAGGGAAACATCCTGACCGCCTGGTGCCCGAGCCTGCCATGGCAACAGCACCGAGCGTTGGACCAAGCCGCCGGCCGGGGCCCGGATGCCTTGCCGGCCGACCCGCGCGCGGCCTTGCGCGCCTTCTACCAGCGCGAAATGCAGGAGTATGCCGAGCATCGGACCCCGGCGCCAGGGCCTCGCCCCGGCGCCCCGGACGATATGGCCTTCGTCACCCCCGACATGCTGGCATCCTACCTGCTGCTGGTGGGGGCCCATCCCGGCGCGGCCCCCGCCGTCGACCCCTTCGTGCGTGACCCGACCCCGGAAGACTTCCTCCGCCGGGCCGAGGAGTACCACGCGGACATGGCCAAGGGCGGGGGCGTCCTCGGGGCCGCGGCCGCGGCCGCCCCCCCGCGGCAGCTGCCCTATGTCCTGGACGAGGAGCCGGGCCCGGCAAGCTGCTTGGAATTCCTCCGTGCCGAGCTCTTCCCCAGCATGGCCGCCCGGCTGGATCTCCTGTCGGGCCGGCTGCTGGCTGACGATGGCTTCGAGGAGGGCCCCCCGGTCGAACCGCCGGCCGGCCGGCCCACCGTCAGCCTCAATTTGCTGGAGCGAATGGTCGGCGATCCCACCCTGCCGGAGCAGGTTCGTGTCAATGCGCTGGCCATTGCCCGCAGCGCCCTGGCCATGGACGCTTGCAGCGGCGTGTGGGTGCGTTCCGGGCTGCGATTTCCCGCTCCTCCGATGTTCTGCCCTGCTTGGTGTCCCTCCCCCCCCCCCTTCCTGCCCGCACTTTGCACTGCCCTCGCCTCGCTGCGCCAGCTGCCTCGCATGAGCCGCCTGCTCCGCCGGAATCGCCCATTCCACGCGGCCAGGCAGCCGGCCATGCTCCGCGGCACCCACCGGGCCCCGCCATCCTGACATCCTCCCGGCTAGAACTTGTCCACGGTCATCACGCTCCTTGGCGGACCTCGGCGGCTGATTAACTTGGCCCTCATCGGTGTGGCTTCCATGGGGATTCCCCGCCTGGCCAACGAGGTACGCTGCCCCTGGCCGAGACACATGCATCTTGGTGCTCGCACATTCTGACCCCCTGGCCGGCGACTGCCGATCGGCCGGACACGCTCACGTCCATGCGCCGGGTCACATGCAGGGGCTGTACCTCTTGTCGAACCTGGCCACAGGCCCGGCCGACGTGCAGGCCGCCATGTTTGAGCCGCTTTTCCCCGGCTGCCGCCTGGCCCCGGTGGATTATGTGGTTGCCCACTTGTCTGGGCAATTTGGCGAAGACTGGCTCCCACTCGAGGCTGCCAGTGCGACCGCGGCCCTGGCATCGGCGGCGGCGGGGACCGCGCCAGCCGGGCTCGCGCCCGCCACTCCCCCCGGGCAGGGCACCAGCGCCGCCGGCGCGCGGCAGGCGCAGCGACTCCTGCTGATCACGGCCCACCGGCGGCTGGCACACATTGTCAACTCGCGGCTGGATGTTCGCCAGGAGGCCGGCTCACGCAGCCTCAATGTGGCCGCCCTCATGACCCTGGACAACCAACTGGCGGCCATGTGGGTGCTGTACAATCTGTCCTTCCCCCGGCGGACCCTGGCCGCCGGGGTGGATGTCGTTGGCGAGTGGGCCGATCGGTGTGAGGCCCTCCTCGGCCGGGGGGTCGATCGGCTGATTCAGTCGCTCTGCCTGCGCCGCGAGGATCGGGTCTCGGTGCCGGAAACACACTCCACCCTGCACGTGTGGCCGGTGCAGCTGGCCCAGGCCGAGGCCAATGACCCCGGGGCACCGAATGCCCGGCGGCCCGGAGCCCAGCCCGAGGACGCGCCCATGGCCGACATGGCCGATGCCCTGGGAGCCGCGCTGCCTGGAGCCGGGGTCCATGTGCCCTTCGAGGTGGACTTCATCGACCGGGGGATGCGCCACCGGATGGACATCCCCACCGCCGATGGCCGCTATGCCCACTGCCATCCGCTACATCGCGAAGAGTTCTTCGCGGTCTACAAGGATCTCATTGACATGGGCCGCAAGGTGCTGGCCAATTTGAAGACCAAGCGCGAGGAGTGACCCACCGCCGGGGCGGGGGGGAGGGGGGGGGGGGGGGGAGGGCGAGGGAGGCACGACTGCGCAGCCCTTGCCAGACACATGCGAGGCAGGCCTCCCCACAGGCGCCTCCCGCTAGCTGGGGAATCCGATCGAATAAACAGCAAGAGGGAGCATCTATTGTGACAATCGGGGCCGCACCCTGGCAGGCGCGCCGCCGAGGCAGGAGGAGGAGGAGGAACAGGCGACGGGGAGGGTCTCTCGGGTGGGGGAAGAAGATGGCGGGCCAAGAAGTGGGCGCGTGTACGTGCGCACGAGCATGAGCGTCTGTGTCTGTGTGCACAAGCCGCACGGCCGCCCATGTGTGGGACATAGGAATGCATGACCTTCACACTGTCGCGCAGACACACACACACACACACACAAACGCCTGCGCAGCCCTCCTCCAGGTTGCGGGACTAGCAGCCATTGCGTGCGGCGATATCGGCAACGGTGGCGGCCCGCTCCGCCGAGCGCATCTGGTCGGCCACCTCCTCAAAGTTGTCGGAGTTCATGAGCCCAGCCCGGCGGGTCATCTCATAATAGATCCCCCGCTGGGCGATCAGCTCCTCGTGGGTGCCCTGCTCGACCACACGCCGGGCATCCGGCGACATGACGCAAATCTGGTCGGCATTGCGGATGGTCGACAGCCGGTGGGCGATGACCAGGGTGGTCGGAGCGGCCGACCCATTGGCGCCACCCCCACCGCCGGCCATCAGCGACTCGAGGGCCAACTGCACGGCGGCCTCGGACTCCGGGTCCAGGGCACTGGTGGCCTCATCCAGCACGAGGACCTGCGGCGCCGGGACGATGGCCCGTGCGATGGCCACCCGCTGACGCTGGCCCCCACTGAGCAGGCCCCCGCGCTCGCCAACCCCGGTGGCATACCCCTCCGGCAGGTGAACCACAAAGCCAGCGGCATTGGCCGCCAGGGAGGCAGACATGACATCGTAATCCTGCCCGGCGGAGGCATCCGCCAGGGCCGCATCGGCCGCGCGGACAGCCGCGCCGGAGACCGCGCGCTCGGTCACATCGCCCTGGGGCCCGGCCTGGGCGACCGCCTCGCTGGCGGCCCTGGTGGCCTTCGAATAGGCGATATTCTCCCCGAGGGTGCGCGATCCAAAGAGCACCGGGTCCTGGGAAATGTAGCCGATGTGCTGGCGCCACTCGGCAGCCGGCACCGCGGTCAGGGGAATCTCCCCGGCACGGCCATCCGACCGGACCAGGAGAATCTCCCCGGCGGTCGGCTCATAGAAGCGCTCCAGCAGGGCCGCCAGGGTGGACTTGCCGGAGCCCGAGGCGCCACACACGGCGGTCACCTTGCCGGCCGGCAGGCGCAGATCCAGCCCCACCAGCACCGGGGCATCCGGGCGCGAGGGATAGGCGAAGTCCACCCCGCGGAAGAGGATGTCCGCGCCGGCAAGATCGGCCCGAGCCAAGACCGGGCCCCCGGCCGCCGGGCCCGAGGCCTCGCCACCGAAGGCCGGGTCGCGGCAGAGAGCCAGCACCCGGGCCCCGGCCCCGAGAGCCTGGTTCACCTCGGCAAAGAGCTTGATCAGGCCGGCCAAATTGGCCTGCACCGATTGCGTGGTCATCAGGAAGGACACCAGAGCACCGCTGGAGAAGACGCCCTGGAAGAGGGCACCCAGCCGCCCGGCGGCCGACGGCCCGGCCTCCGTGGCCATGGCTGCGGTCGTGGCGGCCGCCTTGGCCGCGGCCCCGGCCGAATCGATCACCAAGCCACCGCCAATGAAGAGAACCCCCAAATACATGGCATTGAAGGCCAGCGAGGTGAGGGCCCCGAAGGAGGCCATGTGGAAGCCGAGATCCCGGTGGGCATCGGTCGAGCGGGCCACCGCCTGCGCAAAGCAGGCCAGCTCCAAATCCTCGCCATTGAAGGCCCGGACGGTGCGAATGGCAGCCAAGACCTCGGACGCGCGGGCGGCCGCCGCCGCGTCGCCCTGTCGCGCCAGGCGGGACTTTCGCCGCAAAGTCCGGCCATATGAGGCCCCGATGGCAAAGACCGCCGGCAGCAGGGCAAGCAGCACGCTCGTCAGCGAGGGCGAAAGCAGCACCAGTGTCGACAGCCCGCCCACCGTCTGGGCCGTCAGCCGGACGCCATTGGCCAGGATGGACTTGACGGAGGACTTGAACTCCTGGATGTCGCCCGTCAGGCTGGCCACCAGATCGCTGGTGAGGTTCCCATCGTGGAAGGCAATCGGCCGGTGGAGGAGGTTGTCGAAGAGGCGCTTGCGCAGGCGCTCGGACAAGTTCTCCCCGACAATGGAAACCGCGTAGCCATAGCAGAAGGAGAGGGAAGCTGCCATTGGGGGTGTTGCGCGAGTGGGACACACACAGACACATATACACAGACGTCAGCGTAGGGGGAGGGGGGGGGGCGGGGGCGGGGGGAGTAGAAGATCGGAGGGAGGGATGGCGAGGGAGGAGGAGCAAGGCACAAAGCCATCGGGGGGCGGATGATTCCGATGCGAGAAGAGGGCGGCCGGGCTGGGAAGAGGGGAACCGCATGACGCACCCTGCAGGGAAACAAGGCCCAGGAAGCGCGCGGCCGCGGCATTCAGCTCCGGATACGAGAAGGCATTGGACAGGAGATGTTGGATCTTCTCAAGGGCCGACTGGTCGGCCAGGGAACCAGCGGAGCCATCCAGCTCGGCCCGGCGCCCGGCACTGTCCGCCAGCGAGCGGAGGATATTCAGCAGCTGGCCCGAAGCGGCCGGCAGGAGAACCGTCGCCGCGGCCGAGGCGACCGCCGTGGACACCGCCTATGACCGTCCGGAAGAGGACAGGCAAGTCCAAGGTGCATATGAGTGTGTCTGTGTGTGTTTGTGTTTTTGTGTGCGTGCGTGCGTGCGTGCGTGGGGTCAGAGAAAAAAGCAGGCACGTTGGCAGGGCGGAACACAACGTACAAAGAGGAACCACCACTTGTCCAACCAAAGCAGGGAGCAGATCTCGGCCAAAGTCTGACCGGTGGTGGGAGGGGCCGTGGTCTTGGCCAGAGCCGGGGCTGGGGAGGCCAGATCGGCGGCCGGGTCAGCCGGCTGGCCGGACGCCGAATCAGAAGTCGGGTCCTCCTCGGCAGCGGATTTGGGGGGCACCATCTCAGGCACTGCGGCCTGGCCGGAATCCGAGGCGGCGCCATCGGCATCCGAGTCAGGGGCGGCGGTGGGGGCACCGGCGGCCTTGTCATCCGGCGGAGTCTCGCCTGCATCGCCGGCCTCGACGCCCTGGGCGACGGCATTGTCAGCCTCGGCAGGGGCGATGCCGTCGGCATTGCCGCCTGGGTCGTCCCCGCCATCGGCATCGTCGCTGCTCGATGCATACCACTCACCGTCATCACCATCATCATCCTCGACGTCCTCAAGGATGGCGTTCCAGGCCGTTTGGAAGATCGACCGAACCGACACCTCCACTGGGACCAGGCTCCCATCGGGGGTCTCGGCGAAGATGGACGCATCCTCCAGGTAGCGATTCGTAAAGGCCGTAGTCATCAGGGCGCCGATGGTGAAGGCCGCCCCGGTGAAGGCCCAAGACCGCAGAGGGGACACCCCGCGAAGGTAGACCACACGCGGGGGGGCTGGACCAGACACCGGGAGGGGGATCGACGGTCAGTACCAGACCAGCCCGGGCGGAGGGAAGCCGGCTGTCGAGGGCAAATGCGGCGCATGTATCGCAGGGAAGCAACGAACGGGGAGTGCTTGGGGGGATTGGGGTCGGGCGACCGCCAAAGGAAACCGCCTGCCGGTTCGGAGCGCGCAACGGGGCGCCCGGGCCGACCTGCGACCGAAGGCTGGAGAGCCGTGCCGGGTTGCCGGACGGCGACGGAACGGTGCGCAGCCGGGTGAAAGCCCTCCGAAGCATTGTTGCAAAGGACTGGACCGGACAATGGACCAGGAAGAGAGAAAGACGGCAGGGGGAGGGAAGGGCAGGGGGGATGGGGCGGGGG